CAATTCATCAAAGATAAAAAAATTGATATATTAATGATGTTGATATATATTAAGATATAAATAATGAATTAAATTATATTTACAAAATAAATAAATACAAAGAATTACAAGAGAAGTTAATACAAAATAGAGAAATAATTTATGTAGAAATAATGCTTGTAATATTAACAATAAATTAATAACAAAGAAACAGTAAGAAGATTAAAAATACTAAAATTACAAATCAACTTCAACAAAATACTACAAACAATATTATTAAAAAGATTAAATACTTAATATTTTACATATTCAACACTAGTAACACATTAGAAGAGGAAACTTCTAATTCTCATATGATAGAAATGAACTCTAATATAGAAATAGAACATATTGAAATCATTGAAATAAACATTTCTCAATAACCATAAAATCCAATTGTGGATATATCTATTAATTGTTATTTTTATTAACGAATAATTAAAAATGTATAATCAAAAAGGGAAGAAACTCATGTAAAAGAATAAATTACTATTTAGAAATAGTTGTATAATGTATAACAAATTAATGAAAGTTACAACTAGATTTTAATTAATTATAATGATAATTGATGAAAACATAAAATGTTACACATTCTATTTATGTTTAATAAAAATTTCATAATAGTGTTAAGAGCAATGCTTTCAAGTGAATAAAAAAAACATCTCTATTCGTGTATAAGAAGGTATTTAATATATATTATTCTGTAGTATATTTGTTTTTTTATTGGATTAATTTTTTGTTTTATATCACGAAGAATAAAAAATGATTAAAAAAATTAAAAAAAATTAAAATGAGTTGGGGTTCTGGGAATGTTCTGAAAATACACAATGAAACACAACTTCTTAATTTTATGGAAGAATTGAACAATGAACGGATTGCAATAACAACAAGCACAATACAAGATTATTGCATTTTTCATAAAATTCATTTTGATGAATCATTATTTCAACTTGACTGTTCAAAATTAAATTACTTCAAAATTGATGTAGCACTGAAAGATATTATGACCTCATCTCCGATGGATACTATCAATGACTTTCACAAATTAGTCTCGTTCACTACTCAAAAAATTCCAAAAGAATTTATTTTCTTTCTTGATGAAGTAGGATATCAACTAACACCAACATCAATTTTTCAGTACGTTAAGAAAGGAACTGAAAACGAACAAAGAATACTTGAAAGAGAGTCTAAACAATCTAACGTATGTATTTGTATATGTTCTGATGGTTCATTTCTTCCTTTATTAGTGTGTCTACCAAAAGAATATCTAAGTAGTTTAATAGATAAACAATACATTTATTTTTGTGATGTGTGTTCTTTATTTTATTCTTCATCACAGTTTATTTCTTGGTTTTATAGTTCATTGATTCAAAAAATAAATACCAAAAGAAAAGTGTATCAGTATTATGGTGAAACATATATTATACTTAATGTTTATTATAAACAATATCTTATTCCTTTAATGGATATTCTTCGCCAAAATAAAATTCAAGTTTTATTTTCTCCAAAACGGTATTTCGATTATACAGAACCAATGGTACAAATCAGTTTTATGTTAGAAAAATATATTGTAGAACGTTATTTTAATAATGTTGTTGGATTTATTGATCAACCTAAATTAAAGATTAGTGCAATGATTGAATTTCTTTTAAATTCAAATAAGTTCATTTCAGATTGTTGTGACAATTTCTTCCTCTTTTCATTTAAGGAGTTCCAAAAACAAACAACTCAAACTGATTCATTTTTTTATAACTCAGTGGATAAACAAATAGTAGAACCTCTTCATAATCAATTACAATCTTTTAATATACCACAACCTGATCCAAAAAAATATTCTTCTATTGATTTCTTTCAGAAACTGGATGAAATTTACTATATGACTACTCAAACAACAACAAACACCCAAAAAAATAAACAAATTATTTTAGCAAATGAACAAAAAATAACTCAATCGAAACAAGATTCATCATATCCTGAAATAGAAAAACAAATAATTGTATCCCAAGACAAAACAGTAACAAATAAAGGAACAAACTCAGAACCAATTTCTATATCGAGTGAAGAAGATTTCTCTAT